CAATCTGAGCACACCTTGCTTTTCAGACCGATGAGCTTTGTAGAAATCGACGCGTTTCAGAAAAGCGGGGCATAGAGGAGAAACAATAATGTACAGTATGTGGAAAATAATGTGTTTTTTTTTTACCTTAAACCGCATAAACACATTTCATTACACCAAATACACAAAATAATGTTCTTTTTAGCAACATCATATGGACCTTTTAACAATTCAACTCTTTTTCTAAAGATAGCCTACTGTAAGAATGGTTAAACCGTTTTTTTTTTATTATTATTATTTATAGGAAAGGTTATCATTAACTAAACCAACATTTGGTTCCAAGTTTGCAAGCCCGTATAAAGTTATTAATGGTAAATTAATTTGTAACTTGATTATTTGTTCATGTATTTACTCATTCGTTTGTGCATTTATTTATGCATTTGTTAGAATTAATTATATAATTTAATTACAAGAAAATGAATGCTGGATACATATGGTTGTAAAATGCTTCATATAGAATTTGTAACGGGCGAGTAAAAAGTGAGTACAAAATATGTTCTTAAACACTGACCCCTTTGTTGAAAATAACAAAAATTGCTTACTATTTTAAAGTTTCAGGCCCCTTTTTTCCCCAAATCATGGAAAGTGCAATTTCATGTGGAAAGGACGTGAGAAGCTATGACAAACATCCATGGGAGGACGTAGGTTGAGTGAGTATAAGCTTCTGTCTCTGAAATCTTTACAGTTCAGCGCTTCACACTTAATTGTATGCTTTGCTTCTATCCACTAGAGGGCAGCATTTACACAATATTTAGTATCACAGAAGACAAAGGTTGGGCCCACATGGAAACTACATGTGCTGGTAAGATTGCAGTTCAACATTAGGCTTTCAGACTTGTGACCCTGGTTAAAGCAATGCATATCTTTATTAATTTTACACCTCTTTTTTACCTTGAATTTTTACAATTATGTATACATTACCAGTCAAAAGTATTTTTTCCTTTCTTTAATCCTTGAAAATAGCTTTGTAAACAAATGCAAATCCCCTCTACATATGATTTTCTATATAAATCTATAACTTTATTATCTTTTTTTTGGAAATAGATGAGTTGGACTTGGATAGTTGGATAGTGTAGGTAAAGCATCCAGCAAGTGTCTAGCATATGTGAACATCTCAGATAAGTTTTGAACAAGTTTATATATATTATTGTAATAAAAAAAAAAAAACATGTTTCATGTAATTTGCTCTTGTAATGGCAAAAATGAATTTTCAGCATCATTGCTCCAGTCTTCAGTGTCACATGATCCTTCAGAAA